CGGTAGCTACTTCTCGACATTCTCGAGCCTTGTCCACTTTATCTCTATTTCCTGCGTTGTTCCTGCTTCGATAATCTCGTCTGGATTTGCATTCGTTTTTCTCCATGAAGTGGTGTCGTCGTCGCGCGTCTAAAGAGGTAAATGATCTGTTTTACACACATCAACAAACGCTCCGTGACCGCTATTCGAGAGTAGAACGGGCAGGATGATTGTCGAAATCTACCATCTTCATGTCGAATGCCACAAGAATGTCGTAACGCCGCGTCCTCACCAAACTTCCGCGGACTGCTATCCTTCTGTGAAAACGAAGACTCATGCGTCTTTTGAATAGTTTTCTCTGCGCATGAGAAAGGTGGACTGGTGACATCGGCTGGCGATTCTTCGGAGAGAACGATATTCTTTACCACAGCAGCTGCAGCAGCACGCCGCATTGCATCCTCATCGAGTTCCTCGCAGAGGTCTGGGAAATCATCACCATCGCCAATACTAGATGCATGACTGGGACCTCTGGAGCGCGACATACTCATTTCGTCGAGATCATCGTCCTCTCTAAAATGAAGCAGCTCAACTCCAAAACAATCTCCAAGCAAATCAAACACGCATGCAACATTGAGTTATACGGTAATTTTAATCATATAACGAACTCAGCTAGATCCTAGCGATAACCATAAGACAGTGATAAGCGCACAATATGATTTGCTAAACAATGAACCAGACTTCTCACCCACCCTGGTTCAGCAAATCGCCTAGACTTGTCATTGTAGTCTGAGCCAGCGTCACCGATTTCATCACCTAAAAAATTACTTTTTAGGGCAGCAAACATGGGATGGCTCGTAAAAAAGGTTGTTTTGTTGCTTTGTAACAATGTTGTACCAGGTTGTCCGTTGAATCGCGTCATTTTGCTCATTTTTTTTTCTAGGATGGTTTGGCTTATCCAGTGATTTTTAACTATTAAACGTGATTTAAACTGCATAAATAGCCGAAAACACTGAACCGTAGCTTGTTTTGGGATACAAAAGCTTGAAATTCTAAATTGGTGAAAATGACGAATTTGTCTGAAGAGGGGTCTAATAAGATTATTTGACATACTGATAACAAGAATGATACCTACATCGAGCAAGCTCTCAATGTAAAATAAGATTGGTTGTAGTAAGCTCAAAATCACTGACTACTAGACTACCAAGCAAAATGGCATTGCCATAGGGAACGGACATGATTCTTGCAATCGGCATGCCAGTTAATCCAAAAGACACTTTACAGGCATATTAGTGAATTTGCTATTTTATCGTATTAGTTTACATGTGATACTGCGAGTGGCTATGATTTTCCTATCAGCATAGTATTTATCCCACGAGATCGTTATTGTAACCTCAGAGTTCCTTACAATCCAGAAAAATTAAGCTATCAGTGAGCTTTTCTAGGCTTCTAGAAATACATTCTTAACTATATATTTCAACAAACCCTTCAATCTTCAAACAAACTACATACTATTTCGGAGAGAAAGACTTCTGCACTTGAATTCATCATTATTGACTATGAAGAGAACGGCACGAACTTATTCAACAACTCGATACATTAAAACTCGACAA